TATCAGCCGCTGCCTAACTGCTTTTCGTCGTATTTCGTTTTAACAGATTTGATTCCAATCACTGTTAAGTTTTTTCTCCGCTTCCAGGATATTTGCATATATAAATAAATAAAAATAAATAAATATAAAATAATAAATAAATAAATAAGTAAAAGTCTAAAGCATAAATCTTCGAGCATTGTTCAATCCCATTTTTGCGATGCGCCGTGCATCGGCTTCCAGCTAAGATCGTAGGGGCGTTTTGAATGTGTGTACTGTCTATACAATGACTTGCGATGGCCAGCCGATGTACAAGGCAGTGCTTTCATCCTCCCAGACGAGTCTAGCTCCAATTAACCGAATCCGGAGGGATGGAAGGCTTGGTTGGCCTAGGTGGACAATGATACGAGATTCGAACCCGTGACCATGAGTGTGGAGTGCTCCGTTTGTCACTAAACCACCGCCGACAGGGTTTCATACTCAGAGATATTGGTAGCAAGTTTAGCTGGAGGATGATGCCATTGCTTGACAGCTCAGGTCGTGCTCGTGGGCGCATCTCTCAGACGGGATTGACCTGAGACTTTAAGACTTTATTTTTGAGTATGAAATCCTGTCCTGCTCCCATATGACAACTCTTTCTGTTTCCTACTTTTCTTTCCTTTTTTGGTCCAGTACTCGACAATCTTTTCAATAGAGGATGATTTGCTACTGGATAGAGACTTTTTATATGCTCTCATGCTGAAAGTATCTGTCCATATCTATGTCAATGGCTTGGCAACCGTCTATCACTCTTTCCGCCCTTGCTTCATTTAGTTCTCTTCGCCATGCTCCAGCTTTCGGCTCACTCTTGGGTCGATTACGAGATTCACGGAAGTATATGTATTGGTGTCTGAGGCCTGATGCACTCCGGTTAAATACGTCTTTTTCACTTTTCCGGTTAGAGTCAATTTAGTTTACATTCCCCCTCCCCTTCCGGTGAGCAATCCCCAATCCACGTTCGATCCTTCCCATGACATTCGCCTCCTCCCATAATACAGTGCAATGCAAAATCAGAGAGCACCCCCTTAGAACTGTATTTTTCCTTGATTTTTCCTGTTTCAATTATTTCAGGAAGATATCCCTGTTTACAAATTCTACCAAGCGAATCACCCCTGCAAAAAGCTCTTATTCATAAGTTGTGAAGTCATCGCTTTTGCAACTCCGCAGGACGTAGACTCGGTTGGGTACAAGGCCGGTGCAAAACGATAGGCACAACCTTGTCTGGTGCTCAGAGCAGTTTTGGTTCTTGAGGGATCTACCAGCGCCAGGCAAGGTGGAAACCGTTACCTTCTTCCATCGAGGAACCAGAAGTCAGTTTTGATGAGTTCATTCGCTCCATTTGAGGGAAGGGGGGTAAACTACTAGTTTTGAACGCTTGAGGAATGCTGCTACAAGATCCATCATGAGCATTGGCAAGTACAGTAACGAGAAAGCACCTGGAAGAATAGGGGAGCCTTCAGAAGGTGCTTCTCGCTAAACTTCGAGGGCTTCTTTGAAGAAACTTACTCTAGCCACCGAGATAACATCATCTGCAGATACAACTACTGTATTCTGTTGAATTCTCCGAACTGGTCATGACATGTGCAGTAAGAGCTACTAAGGGAACTCCAAGCTCCTGGCCCTGCCCATGAAACATGCAATTTGAGTTTAGCAAAGAAAACCCTTCACGAAAAATAGACCGAGTTTGCTTAAAGGGTAGTCAAATTTCTCTGAAGAGAAATAAGGTCTTGGTCTGTTCACATTCTTTATTCTGGTGGGAAGAAACTAAATCTCAATGAGAAATGGTGGCTTGCACAAATGAAGGGATTTCGGAAAGAATCCGATTGTGTTCCCTAGTCAAAAAAGGGCCTTGGGGACCGCCCTCCAATGGCGTGGAGTTGCTTTGAGGCCCTTGAGCTGATGTCTGCTCCCACTTGAGAGAATTCAGTAGAATACGCGAGAATTTCAGAAGGTGCCTGTTCCGGTTTCTTTGATGGTGATCTTGAAGTCGTTCAGAAGACAACGCATCTTGCCACATAACGCGCCCATGGGTGAATGGTTCCCGAGAAAAGGTCTCTTAGAATGAACAGGCGTTGTAGTACCAAGGGGCGTTCCATGTCACCTATGATCTGAGGAGTGTTAATCCACCTCAAATATTATCAGTAACCAGCGGGGAAAATTTGTTTGACGTGCAAAATTTGTTGCACAGCAACATTTTTGCAACCACTTATGATTTGATACTGTACAACAATGTGATTGCCCTACCCCTTATTGAACGTGGTCTCTGAAAATCAGCCACAGTTAGAGATTTTGGTGCCCACTGGCTTCACCTGTCCCTGAGACCCATGGGAGTTGGCATTGAGAGGCTCTCAACCTATCGTGAAATAGCGCGCTCCAGCGCTAAATCCTGCTGTGCAGCCGCGCGTGCGTAACGAACTAATCTCTAATTAATATGTAGTCGTCCTTGCGTTGAGAAATACACCAAGTGGATTACAAGAAATAAAAGGAATTTACGATTTAGATTCCTCTTGAAGTATCTCTCTAGAGGAGTTTACGAGCTACTTCCTGTTTATTGGATCGAAGATGAAGAAGCAGGGTGATTCCTTGCCGTTTTTGCAGAATGGCATTGAGTTTATGGAGAAGATAATATTTTACAATTGTAAACAAAATTACCCATTGAAAATCAGAGGCCATGTTATTCGACATATTACTGTAATTCAATGCTACTGTAACGTGTCCTCTATGTGGGAACAGATAGCGGCCTTAGCACCAGCCGCTTGATCCCGCCTTACCATCTCGTCTCCACTGCTTTTGGCTGGAGTCTGAGATATTAGAATCCTCTTTATATCAAGGATAAACAAAACTTATTACCATACCGCCTCCAAACAAGTAACAAACATGTCCAAAAAAAAAACAAAAATCATTATCATACTTTCATTTGGAAAGTGAAAAGTGAAGTGAAAGTGAAAATTCCTGTGATCTGTGAACTGCGGTCTTTCGGTAGGAATGCCGGTCCCTGAGGGTTCTTGGAGCGCTAAATGCCAACAATACCTGGAGTGGTGTGATGGCCGTTGGCGCTCGGTCCCGCATAGAAACCCGAGCGTCTGTAATTGCTTTCTAGCTGTGGTCCTCCCCATCAGCAATGGAATTCGATGCGACCCACACATCTGAATATTTCTTCACGGAACGACGGTTGTGGACATGTATTCTTCAATGGAATATGTAGTACTAGAAAGGCAGGTTATAAGGCCAAGTACCTATATAGTAACTTTTACAACCTTTACTACTTTTGATTGATTGGATGATTCCCCATATTTGAATTGTGCCCTTATCATGTAGCCCCTAATATATTCCTTTCCCTGAATTTAATTTGAATTTTGAACTTGTTTTTGCTGGAATCCATACTGATTTGAATCATTTCATACAGGTTTTACAATCGGATTACTTCGTAGTAGTCTGTTTTCCTCCCATTTTACTCCCCTTTGAATCTGACAGGCCATGTATACATTTTCTACAGATGGCCTCTAACATATACCTTTCCCTGGATCTTTCCTTATTACTTATAAAGGCATGTGAATTTGATAGTGGTGATAAATTTTGCAAATTTATTTTTATTGGTTAGATTTCCACTCAGATTATCAAATAAAACTCTGTCCATGGACAATTTTACATTTTGGGAAATTTCAGGGGTCTTTTTAAAATTGAAAAATGTTCGTGAAAATGTCAATACATACCATATTGTTATGGCGACCGTCAGAACAGTCATCGATGAAATCATCGGCATCTGTTCATGACATCTGATTCATGGCTATTCCCTGGTTATAAAGCTAGAATAGTCAGTGAAACGAATCATTTCCAGTTCAATATCATCTGGTCCCTACTTCTACTTTGACATACTTTTGGCTGATACTCACAGAAGCCCGTGACGATAGCTCTTATACCCGTTTCAGTGGACGTTCATTGTCTTCCTTGCCACTTTTCACCTCATTTTCCTTTCGTTTGGATCGCGAATTTGTCCGATTTCCTTGTCGTTTTCGGCTAGGCCATGAGGATGAGCTTTCATGAAGGGCATCCCGTTTTCAGAGGCGGATGTCACCCGGGAGCGGAGAGGCGCAGTGTGTTGAAGCGTTCAAGCGTATGTTGTACGGGGTGAGCTCTTTATTCGTTGTCGTTTTCCTGTTTATTCTTCTCCATAGAATCCTAAAATGGCTTCACTTTATGATAAGCAAATTTACTTTCCAAGTAATACAACGAAACCGTTCAGAATTATTTGGTAAAACAATATTTCTCTGTCTGCGTTCATAGATCGCGTCCTAGGGCGAATTGGCGAAGGGCGAAGTCGCGTTCGCCACTTCGCCGACGCAGTGTCTCTTCGCATTGAAATTCACAGCGCGACCCGAAAATGGGTGGAAATAGATGTGTGATTTTGTGTAGATGGGATAGTTGGCACATATATGAACTTTTTTTTTCAAAGCTTTCTCTCATTTGATACCTTTTTGGCGGCTTGGGATACTTGCCGGTCCTCTCCAAACGCAACCATATCGACATGAATGTGATCCTCCTGCGGACTTGCTGAAATGCCCCTCATGGGCTGCTTATTTGAGCGTTGTTGAACCATCCGTTTCAGTAGCTGCTACTGTTTTTTTTAAATTAATGTTACTGTAGGGCGGAGATGGTGTAGCAGCACATGGCGCATTGTATTTCACGTAACGAGCGGGATTCGAATTACGGGTCGATATTCGCCCCTTGAGCCGAGTTTTCCATCACTCCTGGTAGGTTTATTGATACCAGATCGTCTGGGGGATAAAAGCTCTGATTTGTACATCGGTCAACCACCGCAGCTTCATGTATAAGCCACGTATGCATTAAGGGCAGGGCATTTTGAATGGCAGTCGAGCTGGGTGAGGGGTTCATCTACGGGACCGATTAACGCCGAAAATTCTATCCTTTATCATTATGATACTAATTCTCTATTTGTCGGCCGATTAATTACAGAGACGGAACATTCGTGCGATTCGGACTGCGTACTGCAAATTGCGCGACGGAATTCGTGGCGATTCGAACGATTCTGACGCCTATTATTGGGGAACAGATCTTAAGTAGAGTAGATTAGTAGGATCAGCTGACCACACCCAACTACTCTATTTCGAGTTTGTGATCCAATAATAGTCTTTTGAATCACCACGTACTTCGCCGCGCAATTTGCCGCGCGCGGGTATGTGTGCGAACGTGCGTACGAGGATGCGCGCGGCAAATTGCGCAGCGAAGTTCTTAATGATTTGAACGACTTTGGCACCTATCATTGGGGCCCAAATTTGAAATAGAGTGGATTAGGAGGATCATCTGACCCTACTAAACTACACTCTTTGAGTTTGTGCCCCGAAAATTGGCGCCGCAGTCGTACAGATCGTCACGAACTTCGCCGCGCAATTTGCCGCGCGCACCCTCGAACGCACGTTCGTACCGTCCCCCGCCGCGCGCGGTCCGAATCGCACGAATGTACCCATACCCGATTAAATATTGCCTACATACGTCGATTCCGGTATTTTCAGATGCAGAGTGCCCGTCGGCGGATCGTGGAATGTATCTTACGTGGTACTGCAGTGGATGGGTCAGAAGTCAAAGCACTCGATCAAACGCTCGAAGAACTGACCGATTCAAGGACAACAGGCGAAATGCGACACATATCGACAACGTCAGCAGACTTCCCCATCAATATACGGGACGAAATCCGCGGGCTACGTGTTAGTTTCATTTCATTTGTGCCTACCGAAAAAAATGGTGTTAAGCGGTAGCGCCCCCCTATAACTGACTCATGATTTCGTCGCTTTAGGATGCCTTTATATTGTCCAGCTCATCCAGTCGTCGCGTACCCCCACAAATTGGTTATCGTTTAGTTGACGCACCATTATATTCGCACGTACGCCAAATGGGCGAGCTGAACGACAACTATGATGGCGTATCCTTGTGCGTAAACGATATAACATGGTGTTACCACATTTTGTTCCTCACTGGCTAATTTGGTGATAAATACACTTTCAGAAGGACTGCGAGTTCCTTCATCGCCTATCGCAACACGAATCCGGTACGATCGAACACATACTCGAGCGACTGTCACTGGAAACGATACTTGCCCCGTACCATCCAAATGGTCCCGAAAAATTTCACGAAGAACTACTCAACGCCGAACAGTAAGTGGATTATGTTGCTTTTGAAATGGGTTCAGGGTTCATAGCGATTTTTGAGTAGCACGCAATTTGATGCATTCATAAGCGAATTCGTGAAACCTAGGCGAGCATTCGCGGGGCGACTTCGGCAGTAATCGATATCTGCAAGGAAATCAGCGATATAGCGCGCCAAACAACATATTTTACTGATATGACTCGATTTTCTACTTGACGAATATTTCATTTCAGATTCCTTATGGGATTCGTCGATTCTGCTGATACGGGTATTAAACCGCTTCTAGTCACCGATTGGGATGGCACAATGAAGGACTACTGCTCGCAATATGCAACTAATCTTCAGGTTTCTGATAATTTCTCAGCATTTTTACAAATCCGATATCCCCAAAACTTTATTTTAATTTCGTGCTTTAGCCAGTCTACAGTGCTGTTGTGATGGGAAGATTTGCTGAGCTGTTCACGCGTGCCACTGCTGTACTTACTGCAGGACCTCTTCGTGGTCCAGGTATTTTGGACCTGACGGCTCTTCCCATCAATGGCCCAGTGATGTTCAGGTGAGTTTTGACATTTCAAACTGTCTCTCAGTTTATCGATTCACTCACTTAATGTGCTTTCCTGCTGGGCTCCAGAAGTTTTCCCTGTGGTCATTCCTTAGAGAGCAAATCCCATGTTTCTTCTTGCTTCTTTTTATTCCTCAAAGATATCTGCTGATATTATCGACTGCTAAATGATATTTTTGAACAGCCGCTCCTGCACTGCTGTGAAGAGAGTGATTTCAAGGGCTTTTAAAGATACATAAGCAATAATGTTTGAAAATCCTATATTACTCATAGTGGCTCCTGGGGACGCGAATGGTGGCTACGTGGACGACGGGTTGTTCACGATGACGGGATTTCCGAAGAGGGTTTCGATGCCATCGGCCGTCTTAGCGATGAGGTACGGTCTATAGTCAAAAGCTTTTTATGCCAGCGTTTTTGAAGCTTTGATTTCGTTATTTGCAGATGACTGATTTACTCGCGAATGGTGTTTTCTCACAGTTTGCATTGGTTGGCAGTGGAGTACAACGAAAGGTAAACCAGCTTGTTTTAACTTGTCGTTATTGTTATTGTTGTTCTTAGGTGGTTCTAGTGGCCTGAATTTCAACTCCCTTTGAAAGACATTTGTATCGTTGAATGAATGTGGTCGTTTTTTTTTTTTGCGGATCTAAATTAGTAGCATCTCTTGTAATGGTTTGGAAGCACAAGAAAAAAAGCTTGGTCGTGTCTCACAAGGTGTTTCTGGCTAGTTGTAGACAAAACTTCTGGCCGCTTGTGCTTTAGAGTGGCATGCACTTTATCCTTTACACTACCGAGATTCCGATTTACATGCACGGAATCATTTTTACTGTGAATGAAAAGCTCTTGGGCATGAAATTATTCCAAGGGAATTTTTGAGTAATATCCTTCCTCCAGTTGACATTTTGGCGCTACTCTGCAGTCACATTTCCATAGTTCTCCTTTCAGTATAAGTTCTTTTTTTTGTTAAGGTTGATCGTCTTACTCTTGGAGTACAAACAGTATTTGGCCATGTTCCACTGGAACTTGTTGTACGATATATCGAAGCAGTGAAAGAGAGAATACATCGTGTTGACCCCAATAATACAGTGAGTTGGTTTATGTCAGCAATTTGTTGACGTTTATTTTCTTTTTCTTTGCATAGTGCGGGTTTTTTGGGTCCCTTCGCGTAGAAGTGGGTTTTGTGAAAGAAAAAATTCTTTCCTCAATTGTAAATGGTCTTCGCCCTGTTATCACATCCCAACTAGTACCCTTTTACTGATTTATAATGTAAACAAATAGCCTGTTAAGGTTTCAACATACCTTCTTTTTCAGAGCCTTGTACTGGAGACGTCTTCGCCGCTTGAAATCGAAGTTTGCGTCCATAATTCAGGTTCGGGCTTAAATGCTATTTCGATTTTATTTCTACGACTATGATACTTAACTTCCTAGGGAGGGGAGGAACTGTTGTTTTTTTGGTTGCGTTTATGATGTCTGCTGAGTTTTTGTGTTCCAGGAGCAGTTTGGAATAAGGGCGATGGTGTGGCGGCATTAATAGAATCTCTACACGATACTTTGAAAAACGGAAAAGTTTTGGTGGCCGGTGATACCACTAGTGACTTGCCAATGTTACAACATGCCGTTTCGGAGAACAGGACTGTAAGTTGCTAAGTATCTTTATTTGGGGCCCCCTTTTTTGTCAAGCAGTTCTTAACCCTACTGAGGTAGTGTAATTGGTAGTTCTTCAAATTGTTCCTCCCTGCGATGAAAAGTAGCTTCTGAACCATAGGTGCCATCAAAAAGGAGAATATCGCTACTGCGTCCGTTTCTCGCAAGCCAGTTATTTTGATAGATTGAAAATAAAAAAGTAACTGAAATGGTTCATATGTATAACCTCGAATTTCTACATGTTTCAGGGTGCTATGGCCTTGTTTGTTGGCGCTGGAGATTCGCTACGTGAATCAGTGCGAAGTATCGTAGGTGATGATAGCAGAATTTGCTTCGTTTCTTGCCCAGATGTCGTCCATGCTGCATTCGCTCGTATCCTGGCTGCAAAAGTTGAACTGGATTAGATTTGATAGCGTCGGTTCGTTTCTTGGGTATCACCGCTCTTCGATTCTTCGTTCACTGCCTGAAGGCTGACGCTGTCTACGAACGTCAGGGAATTATCCGACGTCTTAAGATTGCTCAGAACTAATCGTTACTTTATTTGAAAATCTATGAACTATTTTCTTTTTGTTTAGCGTGTTTACTGTGATGTACCAACGGTTAGTCATCAAATACAATCGATAGCCATGCTATACCGCTTTGTACGAGTTGAGCGGTGTATGGTGTTCAAAAAGACTGGTGAACCGTATATTTGAGGTTTGGCTCAGATTTTAGGAAACAAGTCATTGATGACAACCATATTCCTCAATTGTATTTGGTCGTTTTTAGTGGTCGCATTTATTTCTGTTCCCGATAGCAGTCTGCAATTGCGTACCAACAGCGCATACCGTCTCCAACCACCTATCACATATACGACGCATCTAAAAAAGGCTTTCAAGTGGGTGGGTGGGAAAAAAGTTGGAATTGCGGACTGCTACCGTTTGTAGAGATAGGTAACACCGTTTTTAGCCACAGTATACTAGTAAACACTGAATCTAAGTTTTAAAAGTTCTCTTTAACGGAAACATCTTCGTAATTTTACTCACAGATTTATTTTTTTTTACTAATGTTTGATTGATTAGTTTTATTTGAAAAATTCTCTTTCGATTTGTTTTATTTGAAAAATTCTCTTTCCTTTTCTCTACTCACATAACGTAGCACCTATATATTTGGGACCAGATTTCATGTGAGCTTTAACTGGTAAAAGCTTATCGTCCTATTTTAACCACAGTGATTGCACAAGGTTGTCTAAGGTGCCTAAAATACTTACTTTCGGCTCCTTTCCGTACTGGTATTTTCAGTACTTTTTTATTTTTGTTAAAAAAGCTAACATTACTGAATCTTCAGTAAGGGTCCAATACAACATCTAATTCTCACTCTTTTACTACTATTTGAACATTTTTGAAGTTGTGCCAAGAGTTAGGCTTGGCCAAACAGCCTACGCACGCAGTCCGCGCACCAGTCGTAACACGCGCGCCGCTTGTGGTGACCGAACATCGCGCGCATTCGCCGCAAAACCGCGTCGCGACACATGCTCTATGAGGTTGGCTTCCCTAAAGTTTTTACTTAACTAATCTAAAACGCTCCAAATTATTTCCAATGGGGCTTCATCATCAGCAGGATCATTACATATCCGGCTTTAAAGGATTTCATTTTAATCTGGCTAAAGTTCACTTCAAATTTGGTCTCGATTAGATGGCCACGTTGGATGGAAGCGCCAAGTGCATCCAACTTTTACTATTACTCTAGTAAACTTGAAAAATACAACACTTGTGAATCATTTTATTAATTAACTGTTAGAATACAGTTAGGAATATTTGAGTGTAAATGGTTTTTAACGATTGGAACGTGTGCGACCTCATAAGTTTTGATGTCTTCTGTAACTTATAGTACTGTAGCATGAAATTTACACGTCGTACTTACTGTAATTGTCCCAGATAATTAGTATTATGTAAATGTAAACGTTAAAAAATCTGTGCCATTACCCACCCACAGCACAGCGATCTGTGTTTTATTAGAAAACGAGGAAAACCATGTAAGATTCATGTTTTAACGTTTTATGTTGGTTGAATGTTCAGGAATGAACAGAGCTGTATCATAGATTTTGAATGGTATTGTTCAATGGGTTTAGAAGTGCAGCCGCAGATTCTTCATACATTACACTCTGTTCTAATATAGTAATTAAAGTATTACTTGTCGTATAGGGCTTTGTTTTAGTGTTAATGTGTGTTAATGTGTAGCAAATATGTACTAGTAGAAGTAATTTACAGCCTTTTGGCGGTCATGTATGTTTGATGACAGCTTTTACGATTTCTTTGGATGCTGGTCCCCCCGTGCATCCCATGTGAATGTTCAATTTTCGTGTATTATTTTCGTTAGTAAATTCATTACCATACTGAAAAATACGATTTGGTTGCCAACATTTCTGCCTAGATTCCTATTACTTGTAGTATTACTTGTGAATGATGGTTACTACGTTTATGTACTGATTTGGGACCGGTTTTCCATCGGTATTCGCATAAATTATGTTCTTCATATATTGTTATTGTGATTAGTTTACAGATTAGTACTTAACGTCATTGGTAATTGCCATGAAAACGCTAAAACTCTTTTTTAACCGGTTCATTTACAATGTTTAAGGTAAGAGTCCTTCAAGCAAGGAGAACTGGAAAACTTTAGATCACAGTCTTGTCATGGTTATTTAATCCATATTGGCCTGAGAGGCCTAAAGGGCATTTGACTAAGGTGGTACGACGCACGATGAGGAACCTGACTAGGACAACTATCTAGTGTGACAAGGCGCGAGGCGAGACAACTAGCAAGAAATCGTCTTTCGCAGGTGCAACGTTGCAAACGTGGGGTAGTGTAGTATGTAACGAGAGTTTAGTAATTATGAAATCACAGGCATTCGAATTTCAAGCGCTAGACAATCCATCTCCTTGCTGGGGATATGGGTAAATTGGTGCGTCCGGAGATGCACCAATTTCGCCGTGCGGCGAACTGCGCTGCGAAGTTCATGACGATTTGAACGACTCTGACGCCTATCGATGGGCACAGGTTTGAATTAAAGTAGATTTGTAGTACCAGCTGATCCTGCTAATCTACTTTACTTCAAGTTTGTGGCCCAATAGTAGGCGGCAGTCGTTTAAATCGCCACGCTGTTTGCCGCGTGCATCTTTGGGCGCCCCAATGTTCCGTCTTCACTTTCCTGGGCCCATGTTGTTCTGAAAGTGAGGAGTTTCACCCATAGCATTTTGAAATAGCAGCTTGAGGGACTGATAGTCAGCCAAAAAAAAAACTCTACATAAAAGTGCATTTTTTGTCTAATCTGGAGACCTGAATTTTTATGACCTTTTTTGAAGTCGACCACAGAACAGTTGTATGATAGTTACTGATGAATTCCTGTCACTGATGCGATTATGCAAGCCAAGCCATGGAATTTTTGGAATTTGCACGGGTTCGTGTGGCGGTGAAGAACGGTGCCCAGATGGCTGCCACTTCCTTTTATGGGGACTGGTTAGATTGACGCATTGATCGATCGTTTTCAAAGATTCTTTTTGAAGTCGGTGTCGTTCAATTGTCGACACAGTGATGAATAGTTTTTGCAAAAAGTAGCAGACCAAAATGCAGTACTTCAATCCGATTCAATGTAACCTCCCCCTATTGACATGCCGTCCCGTGTGATTCGGAGCATAACTCAGTAAACAGCTGCCATTTGTTCAAATTCGAATTCGCTTGTTTCGAAGTTAGCTGGTTGTAGGTGTTTGTATTCACTCATATGTGGGAAGGAATTAGTTTTGGCAGAGTTCGAATGACGATCTTTGAAGTAAAAAATGGAGAGGTCTTGCTTACACGGTTAACCGTGCAGCCGCGTTCGCGGCGACCGAGTTCTGACGCGATGCCGCGCTGGCACCTGCTGACCGATGCTCCCATTTGCTTCTTAAGTTTTTTTTTTTGCTAAATATTGGCTAAGTTACTAATGTAAGATCATCAATATTGGCTAAGTTACTAATGTAGGATCATCAGGAATTTTATGCGACAGTAACAACAAGTATAACTCCAGCCGAAATGACAAATGCTACTGAGAATAGAACCAAGGCTAAAATCGCAGCATGTGTTATCAACGAACGTCTATCCTGTCGGCACGCCCAAACATCATAGTCGTATAGGGCTGGTGGCATGGTTGAACCTGTAATGTGCAAGAGTAAACTGTAGAGAAGTGCAATATCTTTGAAGTCCCCGATTCATTCTCTCTCTAATTGTAAGTAGAGAGGCACAAGTAGGAACCCTAATATAAGAAAAAAGGAAATTGAATAGAAATTAGGCAGTTCTCAAAAAAAAAATAGTATCTACTTCACATAAATGGGATGGTCTTTCCCATGAATCCCTCTCAAGTAGCCAACACGCTGAGCGCGTTGGCGATTTGTGGGCGGAGTTTGGTGAGTCCCAGCGCGTTGCTCATTGGTGGATAGTGGTCGTGTTACACGATAACCCAATCATCGAAGGCCGAACTTTGATCTACCATTTTTCAGCTTCTGTCTGCAGTGCGCTCAGTGCGCCCAAAGTTAATGTAGACGTACCATAGCGATAGACAGGGCTCTTCGTTTGGCGGCGGCTAAGACGTCGAGATATTGGGTAGAGTTCTCGGAATTCTGTAAAAGGCGATATGATTAGAGGCCAATATCAGGTATGACGGAATGCATTTATTCTATACTATGTATGACTTACCAGTAGAGAAGTACTTTGATGGCAGTTCCCGAGGAGAGTCATCGTGCCGTTGCATATTCAAGGCTCGTACATTTAGAATTTGCGATGGTATATGAATAGAGGTTTCTGCTGGCGGAGCAGCCCAGGATCTCAGGGTCTCACCACGTCCACAAGCCTTAATATAGAAATACTAAAAATATGTTTCATTCTACAATGAACCATGAAGTTGATGAGAAACATGCGTTTGAAGACAGTAGGCACGATAAGTTGGGTGTACTTAGAGACAACATTTCAGTTCTGCCGTGTCGTCTGCGCTCTCATAAAACACGTCGTCGCTGCATTGAGCCNTGCGAGGCACCCTCCTCCCGCCCACTCGATTGAACACCCATTTTTCGCCCACACCCACACTATCGTGTTCTCCACATTTAGCAGAACTACAACTCACAGGGCAGTGATAACCTGGCCGAAATACTTGAAATACGCAGAGATCGCATTTGTCGTAGAACTGTGGAGATCGGTGGAGAAAACTCGGACGAGGCTCATCTGCCATTCCGTAACGTTGTCTATCAATATTTCCACGAATCTTATCGTAATGTGTGTATGTCCTCAGTGGAGGACGCCATCGAGGCAGTCGTACATATCTTGAATATAGGCGTCAGTATTGTAGGCGGGGCTACCTGACATGGTTCAAACAGAAATAAATCTCACTCCAATTCCAGCCTACCTTTGTATTCGAAGGCTACCAGAATCTAGAGAATTCGATCTGCTGGGTTGGTGTTGTACTTCCTCTCTTCCATATCTTGTATATTCAACCGCAGAATTGGTTCTATAGTATTTTCCGCTACGATATTCTCGTTGTTGTAATTTGTTTCGCGGAGACGCACTAGTGGGAGCCATCCTCGCTGATCCTCAATATGGTGAACTTCAACACATGACTACATGGATCACCCATATGTGATGCAAATGCAAGCTCCATGCCAGGTAGTCCCGCCCACAAGTTAATATTGTGGGCGGAGCTACCTGACATGGCAGCCCCGCCTATGACTCAAAGATATTTTTCCCAGTGTTACAAAGTGGCATTTACTTTCATTGTACGATCCGTTTAGTAAAAGTGAGAGTATTGTAATGGAACGTACGAATTGCTGGCTTTACATAGATAGGCTCTTCATATGGTCGTGATCGGTTCAATACAGATTGGGGACGTAAAATATCTTCTCGGCTCGAAGTGGCTGTAACAAGCAGTTAACATTTTGTGAGTGTTCTCATGTATAAAGGGCAGAACGCTAAACTTTAACCACTCGTTTTTTAGAAAAAGTCACTTAATCGACTTTCATTCAAAATCGTGAAGAGATTTAGATGCGTATTCAGCCTATGCAGTAAAATATAGGGATTAACTGGCGCGAATTCATTGTTTTCATCCTCTCAAACAAGTTTGAGTTTATGAAACTGGTCGCGGAGTAATGGAACTGGAACTGGTTGGCACGGGCCGTATTTGATCCATAGGGACAAATTTTTTCAACTTTGTTTACTCTGTACTACTTTTTTCAACTTTGTTTACTCTGTACTACCAATATAATCAATATTACACTCTGGACACTTCAACTTGTGAACAGATCCTCAACACCTTCGGGTAAAAAGCATAGGTCCGGCTCTTTACGTTTACGCTGTTATTCAAGTAATGTATGAAGTGAACCGATCAAAGTAAGAAAGTGGAGCTCAAATCTCAGATGAGCTCTTTACAAGTCAATCCTACTATTACTGACAGTGATTTTAGTAGGTTTAGTAACGCTTACATGGCAATCGTCGTTCGTACACGGCTTCTATTTCTCCACTAGAGTTCCTATGCGAGATGAATGGATCAACATGTTCGGTCTCTTCAGCTATCGGTTCAGGTCTGGTCACTCCTGAAACAAGTAGATTCCGTGGAAATGAAAGGACCGAGAAAGTTCGTCTTTGGTTTGTTTCTCATATTCTTCCATTAGGATCTAACTGCACTTGTCAAGCAGCCGAATTGTCAGGAGTATGACTTTCGAGTGAGTTCGT